GATAAAAAATGTTTTCTTCATTCCATTCTTTGTTTTATATTTGGGCAGAATATTATGTTTTAATGGGCTCAAACAAATTCTTAAATGTGTCTAGAAATGTCTTGTTGCTATTTACTTTTTCATTTCTGGATTAAGAATACTTGAACTCTGTCAAACAATGCATCAATTTGTATTATGTAGTATGGAATCATACAAATATTCCAGCAAATAAAATCAAAATTGAATTCATTGACCTAAATTTACACAGTAACATTCATAACAAGATGATTTCTTCATTTTCAGTGATTGTTTTCATTGATGATCAAACTGATGAAGGTTATTTTCTTTAATGTTTGTCAATTTTTATTAAATTTAATCTGAGTTGGTCATGCAGTAAAGAGTGATCTGACAAGAAGTAAGGTCCAAAATAGATGCTATAGCAGTAAAGCAATAAAGTTTCATCATATTATCTAACACTGAGTCAAAACAATTCAGTCAAGAGAAAAAAATTCATGTCATTTAACCTATCATTAACAGTGGATTAATAAATATGGCTACCAGGCTTGTCTGATTCAGAGTTAACTTTCTATTGGATATGTTATTGACAAGAAGCTTGGAAATTGGGATTTCCAAAAAGATTAGGATTTAATCATTCAGACAGAATAATGAGGATTAGTGAAAAATTGTTGAACTCATTCTTTACTTAAATACTATTTTTATATTGATGTAAATCAATGTAAAATTGACATAACAAATTAATTTGAATATAGAGAACAAAACAAGATCATATATCATTTGGAAATAGCAGGTACTAGTGGTTAGGATTCCTAACTTTCACTCAGGCAAACTGGGTTTGATTCCCATTTTGGAAATGTGTTATTTTAATAGGAGATACATTGATTTGCCTATCACCCAGTTCACACTCCTTCTCTGTCTTTTGAACATCAGTAGAGATTTATTGCTTGTTTCTTGTTTAGGATTGGGTTTCCAGTTCCTTCTAAAGTCTCATTCTCTTTCACTCCCAGTAACCCTTTACATGTTAGTGGAATTAAATAAAATTAATTATACTGATTAAATGAGTATATCTACAGATTAAGGTCAGTATACTTGTGCACACAGTTCAACCTGAAATTGTTGATTTTGTTTTAAAACTGACAAAACCTCAATTTTTGCAATACTGCTGTTAATTTAGGAAAATGGTTGTAAATGCAAAGTTAGAATAAACAGCATATAGGAATTATTCATTTTTGGTAAAAATTTATTTATTTTTTTAAATTGAAATCTAAATTATTTGCTTTCTAAATTAGCTGCATTATTTTATATAAAGTCATAACCACAGGAGTTCATTGACACTTTCCTCCTTTCAAACTAATGTGATTTTTATTTTGATGATATATATATATATATTTCATTTTTATTATTTAAAAAAAATTTATTACAAGAAAACCCTATTATACAAATACATTAAAAAATAAGTATGTCAGTTTTCAAAAACATTTGTAAATGCCAGTTTGAATCCTGCAGGAGATCTCACATTTTTCTTTAAAAAGCTTTCTCAAATACTCGGGCCAGTAGATGAAAATAAATAAATATACTGTTTAATGAATATACAGAGTGCCTGTGGGTATCTTTGAAAATATAACAATAAAAGTCCATCAATTCTTTAGAAAAACATCTTGAATAAATACATTTACCTGGGTGTTTAGTGTAAATTTTTGGTAATTTTTTTTTGTTCACTGGATTGGCTATTCAACAAAAATATCCTTCCTTTTTATCTTATGATAAAATTATAATACTTGCAATAATTAGATCAATCATTTTAATTTTTATTATTGGCCATCAGTAACAAGATATTTGGTAATGAAAGAACTATTATTAGTTGCTTCAAACTGATAATGGGGAAAACATTTCCTGAAAAGTTGTAGCTAGAAGAATTTTTTTTTTTTTTTTGTCACTGCATGTTCTTTGCCCTTCAACTTAAAAATGTTACATCTTTCCCATTCATGACATTGCCATTACATTAGAGTAAGTTGGTATTTTTCTTTTATTCTGTTACCATCTTTCTACAAAAAAAATAATGAGAAAAGTTTAATGATAGGATAGAAAATTAACTTTTAATTTTTTTGCTGGGTTGATATTTTATTTGTTCTTTCCCAATGCCCTTGGGAAAAGTTTGATTCGTCTTCTTCCCCTAGCTATGGGTAAATTAAATAGCAGGATAGACCGGGTTCTCATTGCCTTAGCAACTGGTCTACCGCAGAAAGAAATGGCAACCTACTGTGAGAATTGTATTGAAAGATACATGATCACGTAAACATGTATCACGCATGGCACATTGACTGACTGTTAGTGTTATTGACAGTTGCAGACTTTACATGGTTATTGATAAGATCCTTTTTTTTTTCTTTTTTTCACTCACCCTAAAGGGGTAATCATTTTTTAAATTACAAGCCTGAAATTTATTGCTCTGTTGTATACAAAATGTGTCTGCAACGTTACTATTTAAATAAAGATTTAACTCTTGATCAGAAATTGAATTATTGTATTAATGAAATGAGTATGACATATTTTTTTGTATTCTTTCTAGAGCAAGTTTTACAAGTTATAAATTTTTTCAGGTCTATTTTATTAAAGAAATGGGTCAAAGCCAAGGTATTTGCTACAATGAATGTTACTTAGAAATGGTCACTAGCATAGATCACTAGAGTTGGTCGGTTTGGTAATTTATATTTTGGTATCGGTTTCCAGTTTTGTTTTTCTTGATACCGCAGTTTTCGAATCGGTTTTTAATTTAAGTATTTTCGCTTTCTAAGGAAGCTATTTATTTTCTTGTGTAATGATAGCATTTCCAGTTGATATCTGATTTCGTTTGAGATTGATAAATTTGCAACTTAGTCCGTTCAATTCGTAAATTCTCGTTTATCTCTGATTCAAACTTTATGGCTGGAAAGAAAATAGAATCTTTCTAAATATGTAATTTGTATGTGCTTTTTTTTATTCATTGAATTATTTTTCTACACTACAGCGAGTTAAAACGGTATTGCTTCGACCAGCTGAAAATGCGAAAAGATTTTTTTTTCCAAGATTAAATTTTGCACATTACTTTGTTTCGCAAAAATAAAAGTGACCAATCTTTATTCTTTATCAATATTCTTGAAATCGTACACTCAAGGAAGATGTTCATTTTTTTTTCTCTGACCCGAGGAAGTGAATTCCTTCAAAAATTATTAAAAAATCCCCCCAAAAAAACGGCAATTCTTTTTTATTATTGGGGTTTGCAAATAAATTTCTTCTAAACAAGGAAAATCAATGAGTTATTTTTTTCTTCTAAATAAATTTGTTTTTTATCTAACGAATAAAAACCTAAAATTAAATAAAAATAATCAAATAAAAGCTTTTTATTTCATTTTTAGAACGTGTAGATTTCCAAATCTGCGAGTATATTACCTGTTCTTTTTTTTTAGATACACATTTTAAAACTGAAATTAAAAACTATTTTAATCATTTTATCTTACTTGTACGTTGTAAGAAGTGTATTATTTGCCAGATAAAACATACAGATATTTGTAAAAGTAAAAAAATGAATTAATTTTTTTTTTTTTTGCTTGTTTAGAAGAATTTTATGGACAGAACAGTAACAAAAACCCACTGAACACAACTGGCTAAAAAAGAATTTTTACTTTGGGTTTAAAAAAAATGACTTGAAGTTTTGAAAATATACACATTTTAAAACAGATTTAAAACTTACTTTATTTTTTAATATCTATTTTTACATGGATTTGCTAGATAGAAACATAATTTTATTTGTAGAAAACAGACTCGCACGTGGAAATATACACATCTTAAAAGTCACAAGTGAAATTAAGAACTAATTATTTTAAGTGCATACGCTAGATAAAAAAAAACAAATTTATTTATAAAAAAATATCTTAATTCGTTTTTCTTGTTTGCAACAACTTTATTTCGTGATTGGCGTAAAATGGCTTAAAACCTTTACAAAAAATCCAATTTCATAAAAATTAAAATTTAAAAACTGGCAACTATTTTTTTTTATTCGCTATTTTGTTGTTAACTTAATGTTACTGCAAAAACTTTTTTTTTTTTTGAAAGCTGAAACAAATACATGATTTCACTCTCAGACATCATGTCGTATTTCCTTCTTTTTTTTTCTTCATTTCTTTTGTAGCCAAATAGATTTCACATTCATTTTCTAAAACTAGTTAATGTTTTTAACATGTTTTTGCTCAATCTTTTTCTCTTACAGTGGTATAAATGTTGATAAAATTTTATTTTATTAACTAACATCTGAAAGTCTTTTTCAGTAGTGTTTCTTTGGATATGCTCACTCAGTCAGTAGTGATATAAAACGAAACCAAAATCGTTCGGTTTCATAAAAAATTTCGATGCAGTTTCATGGAGTGAAGACATAAAACCAAAAAAGTTGATTTTTCGGTTTAATCGCACATCTCTAGTTGGTATTGATCAAAATCAAGAGTGCTTTCTCTGAGGAAGTATCTGTTATTGATTGTCCAGCATTAAAGTTTAATATAGATTACGATTTTGTTTTTCAGGCATTCCAGCACACAGAACAAAAATAGTCTGTTCAACTCCAAGGTTATGTGTTATGAAGTGATATTTAACCTGTTATCACTTCATAACACATATAATCTTGGAGTTGAACAGACTATTTTTGTTCTGTGTGCTGGAATGCCTGAAAAACAAAATCGTAATCTATATTAATTAAACTTTTGTAATGCTGGACAATCAATATGATGTTCAAATCGCTGAAAGTTTCTGTATCTTATGTTCAATGAAATATATATTGTCAATATTTTGCTTTAGAATAAAATCTTTTTTTACAAATCACAATGGTTATGTTTCATTGTTTTCAAGATTCGCTAAATTTATTGCCTCATATTTTTCATTTAGAATAGATTTAAGAACATTAGTTTAATCTTTCACTATGATAACGTACGTTCACTCTTGTTGTTCAAAGTGTTTTTTTTTTCTTTCCCTTTCAGACTGAAGGAAGAAAATAGACGTTTGCTGCAAGAAAGGCAGGAAAATGAACAGATGATTCAATTGTTAGAAACAGAAAAAGAAGTTCTTAGTATAAATGTAAATTAAATACTTTGCTTATTACTTCTCCTTCAATACTTCTATTCTATTTTTGAAATGAGATCAATCAGGTCAATATAATTACAATACATCCTTTATATATTTTAAATTTAAGAATCACTTAATATTTTCAGTGTCTGTATTCAAAAATCTTTCCAGACAAACCATGAAGTTGTTTTTTACTTAATTAGAAATGTAGACAAAACAATCTTAAAACCTGAGAAATTACTTACGCAAATTGTCATTTTTTACTTTTATTCTTAATGCACTCATATGTAATGGTTCATTTTGAGTTGTGTGTAGAACATTTACTGATGAAGTAGATTCTTTTTAAAAGAATGATTCTATAATGATGACTTGTTACTATATTTCTGGCTGTAATAACTTGAAAATGTACTACTGTTGGGATCATCAAACATGTCGATTAAAAGCTTCAAACTAAAAATTATGACAAGATTAAGTATCCACTATTTTCTTTTATTGAAATTTATTATTCTTTCTGTAAAGAAGAAATTTTGGCAAACATGGGTAAACGGGCCCACAATAAAACATAGTGTCAAAAGAACAGATTTTTTTCCCCCGTGATACTGGTATTATTTTAACCTTCATTCTTCAGCAATGTTTATTGTGTTATAAAGTGATGATTAGAATTGAAATAAAACCTAAACATAATGAAAGTGAATTTATGCATTTTTTGTTCTTGAGAATTTACAACAAAAATGTTAAATGCTATTTATTTATTAGATTGTTTATTTACAAGGACAATTTTATATTTCCAACATTCTAAAACATAATAAAATTAAAACTAATTCAATGCAATATTTACCATTTATCAATTTTTAAAGAAATAATTATGAAAATTTTTTATTCATGAATTTATAACATTTACTAAATTATTAAAATACATGAATCAACTATAAAAAAATCCTTATTTACCATTTTATAAAGTTTGAATCAATTAGCCAATGTTTTGCCCATCATTATTTTTGTTGTCAATTCTCAAGAATAAAAAAAATGCATAAATTCACTTTCATATGTCCTTTTGACACCATCTTATTTCAGACACATTTGTCCATGTTTGTTCTTTCTCAACTCCAAGTTGTAAACTTTTTGTTTTCATTATTTCCAGCATTATTGTTTTTATTAGTTATTATCAGTTAACAAGCACAAGATATTGATAGTGATATAAATTTGTTAATTTTGCTAGAAAATTGATTTTGTTTCATGTTACTTAGTAAAGAAGTAGGTATAAAATTAGTAACAAAATACTAATTTTGGTTATTGTAGCAGTAGCCATAATAATAATGGTGATAAATATAAAAATGATTTTCACTAAATAAGTTTCAGGATTGGTTAGCATTAAATACCTATAAAAAGAAACTTGTCTGAAAATTGACAAATCTTAGTTTCTAAATGAAGAAAAGAAATGAAGATGTTTTATAGCATTGGAAATGAATTGTTTGTGTTCTACAGTTATGGTGTATATAACTATTTATTCATACCTAAAGCCTTTACTTTGACTCTAGGTATGAATGAAGTATTTTCATTTCTTTGACACTTGTGGATACTTTTCCATGAGAAGTGACAGTATGTAGAGCTTCAGCTGTGGACCAAGAAAAAAACCCAGGAGAAATGATGTCAAAAGTGAGGCAAGTGTTTTTAGTAACACTTGCTTTTTCAAGTGAAGGCAGTTTTGTGACAGTGAAATTGATCAATGATGACTTACAAAAAATCTTAATAGCATGAATTGTACACACAGCAGTTAGTCAACAACCTTGTATTATGGTTCACAAACTATTTTATTTTTAACCATGATGAAAAAAAGCTCATTAATGATGAGATCTGAACTTTATTTTTTAGAATGTAACATGACTTTTGGCATATTCACTCATTCACACTCCATAAACTGCACAAAACCTTTTTGTTTTTGAGTGATTTATTTACCTTAAAGTGAAAAGCATTATACTTTTTTCCTTTTTTTTTTTTTTTTTTTTTTTTTATAAATATTTTTTTGGCATATTATATACCAAAAAATATTTATTTTCTTCTCTCTTTATGAAAATCAATAAACAAAAATCTGACATTTTCTTTTCAATCAATTCACCTCAAGCAAGTTGATAATACCACTAAGAGTTGAGGGCCTTCTGAGAGTGAAATAGAAAGAAAAGACTAGGAAGGAATAGGAAATCTAATTAAAAAGAAAATGTGTGCTGCTGTGATATTTTTTGTCATAATAGAATAAAAAGTTAGTTAAAACTCAAAGCTCCAAATGCCATTTAACAATGGGGATGGAATGGTTTTATTGGGAGGAATAGATTACTCTACAATTTCTCCAGCTGTTATTAGTGTGAGAACAGAGGACTGAAGATATGAAGATTTAGGGTTCTGCTGATGCTTTTCAGGCTTTTTTCACACTGATAAAATAATATCAATGTGAAAATGGCCTGTAAAGCTTTGATTTGAAAGTAACACAAAATCCTTTCCTATGTAATTAGTCTTGATTTATAATTTTAAATGAATTTATCAACTTAGACTGTTTTGAGATATCCATATTTAGCAAATTTCCTCACTCATTTTTCCCTTTTTTTAAAATTTTATTCTCATCATTGTAGAGAGTGGCAGTTTAAGTGTTAAGAAATTAAATTCTGTTAATTCTGAAATGCATTTTATTTTCTCCCCTACAGTTTTTTTTGTAATATTAAGTTTCTTGAAAATGCACTACATTACAACTAGGGATACAACCCAGCTTAAGTGGGTTAGGAAGTTCTGGTGTTTTAGCCATTTATATCTTACTCCATTTACTCAGGCCAAGCGTGATCTGGACAATAGCCAAAGAGAACTTTCCAAGATGGAACAGGACATGGATAGCCACAAGCAGATTGTAGCTGACTTACAGCAAACCAACGAGCTTTTGGTTGAAAAGGTAGATCTTTGTGAAAAGGTAAGTGTGACCTTTGATTTCATGACAACTTCCCAATCTGCTCATAAAAACATGGAAGCTTCTAAAACTTGAGCATCATGTTTCAATTGAAAATCAACCTCTAACAAAAAATGGAGCTATTGTGCTTGCTTTGATCTAACAAAGAAATGAAATTTTGCATTTAAGTCATTTTTTTCTTTTTGCATAAAACTGAAAACATAAAAATATATGCTCTTTTAGTCAGCTGAGTTATAAAATGTAACTAAAGAGACAGTTACAATCAAATCCTATGTTAAATATCATTTTTATTCTCCTGTCAGAAGTTAAAAAATATCAAAAAACCTGAAAAGGAAACTTGTGTAGTTCCTTTTATATCGAGAAAAAATTATCTAATTCTTTATGGAGCTCAATATCTTACTTTGAAATGCAAATTGGGATTAATCATTTTCTTTTAATGTGTTTTTCAAAAACATTAACTTCTGATTTATTGTATTGTTAATTATCTCAAGGTTCTGAGAGGTTGTTTTCTTCCTAATAGGATCTAATTTTTTTGGTGGTAAATTTCTATTACTGATCTTTTTGCATATTTTTTCTTTCCTTTTTATTTTCCTAATGCATTTATTCAGCTTGCAAATTACAATGCTTCTCTAAATAATTTGTTTATTTTCATTCAGTGCTGCATTCATATTCCCAAGACATATATATAATGCAAATGTTAGTATGTCACACTTTTTCAATTTTACTCCTAGAGGCTGTAGCCCAACATATCATACCATTTTGGAATCAGGCCAACTCTGTGAGCAAATTAAAAACATTCCAGGCTGGATCCTGACCCACAATCCTGAAATTTTGGATTCCCAAGTTTTCATTACTGTGCTCATTTCCAGCGATTTTTGTGATTTTTGTGACAGATTTTTTGTTTGATAACAAATTTTATAATTTTGATATAAATTTGGGAATAATTAAATTGTGAAAACCAGCAAAAGTAATTGTTTGTGTGGAAAGTAAGGATCTGTCTTTAAATTAAGTGGCAGCAGAAGAATTATTATAGAACTTTTAAAAGTTAAGATTACTTAAATGCAGCAATCAATTTTTTGTAGTATATTGTTGCCTATTGCATCTACTTCTTCCTACCTGTTGTGATGAAGGCCCAATCAAGAGCCTTCTGGAAGAGCTAGCTTAAATGCTGCCCAATAGGGTGATGGCTTTTAAGATAGTGTCTATATATATATATATATATATATATATATATATATATATATATATTTATTTAAAATGATTTTTTTAAAATATATGTTTTTTTTTTGCTACACAGTTCTAACCATGTTTCAAAAATGGAAGCTAAAAAGCTATGAATTTAATTTTGTAATTAAATTAAAGACATTAGTTCCATTTATCCTCAAGCTGAATTTTGGAGTAACTTTTAAAATTACTGGGTTTTAAAGACACACCTAAAATCATAATTCACGTTTCCAAGGTTACAGATAAATCTACTTCAACTGGACAAGGGGTGTCTGGGTGTTCATTATGTCTGTATTATTGTATCCGTTATTGGTAGGGGGTAGGGATGTATTTTTCAATGAAATCTGACATCCGTTGAATGCATGTCGTCTGGATTTTTAAAAAAATTTATTGTTAACAGCAAAAATTCTTATGGCATTGTATATTTAAAGATTTTTGGGGGTGTTTAGGTTAGAATACGTTTTATTCAACTACGATTTGAAATATTTTCATTTTTAATTTTTATTATACTATATTTTTTAAGAACAATTAAATGTATTAGAATCCCTTATAGTATGTAGAATTATTTTTACATCAAGTATGTATATTAGGTTACAAAATTTTTTTTTTTGTATTTAAATATTATTTAAGTAAAATTTATGACAATGACGGCAAAAATAGTTACTTAATTTCACTGATTTAGTAAACTTTTATTTTTTATATAAACCTAGTAATATATTGTTTCTCATGTAAGTACAAAGGACATGGGTCATTCAAAAGCTTACATCTTCTGGCATTTCTTATTAATTTTATTTTACTGTAGGTGTTTTATTGGATTCTTTTAAGTGTGTGTAGTACTAAGTAAAAGAAGTTTAGGTTAGAATTCATTTTATTTAACTACAATTTTAATTACAACTTTAAAATATTTTCATTGTTAGTTTTAATAGACTATATTACTTTATAATAGAAGGAAATATATTAGAATTACTTATAGTAAGTAAAATTATTTTTCCATATCAAGTATATGTATATTACGATTTTTAAACTTTTATATTTAAATATTATTTAAGTAATATTTATGGCACTTACTGCAAAAATAGCTAATTTATTTCTCTGATTTAGTAAACTTTATTTATTTATTTATTTATATATATATAAACTTAGTAATAAAGTTTCATATGTATGTACAAAGGACATGGGTCATTCAATGGCCTACATCATCTAGCTTTTCGTTATAATTTCATTTTTCAGTAAGTGTTTTATTGGATTCATTTAAGTGCCGGTAGTACTTTTTGAGAGGTGTTTAGGTTAGAATTCGTTTTAACTACAATTTTAAATACAACTTTAAAATATTTTCACTGTTATTTTAATAGACTTTTATTTTATTTTTTTTCCCATAAAGAAAAAACAAATGTAATAGAATTACTTACAGTATATAAAATTATTTTTCATGTTAAATGTAAGTATGTATATTACCTGATCGCACCTTTTTAAATTTATTTTTTATTTTTAAATATTATTTAAGGAAAATTTTTGACAGTGATGGCATAAAACAGCTATTTCATTTCTCTGATTCAGTAAATTTTTATTTTTTATAAACTTAGTAATATATAGTTTCTCATGTATGCACAAAGGACATGGGTCGTTTAATGACCTACATATTCTAGCTTTTCTTATTAACTTCCATTTTACTGTAGGTGTTTTATTTGATTCTAAAAAGATGCCAGAAGTATTTTGAGAGAGATGTTTGATTTTTATATTTATTTATCCTAAATGAACTTTGATGTTGGTTGAATCTTTTTTTGAACTCATGGCTAGTGCAACCTATATATATTTTTTTTAGGACTTTCAATCGAAGAGATATTGCATTGGTATACTAATGATTCAGTGCGACATTTATTTTATAGAGGGCAATTATGAGGGTTTCTACAGTTACATAGTTTTTGTTTATTTTCATCTTCTATTATTTTCCCTCTTCTGTTTGTATCCTTATTGCCCCACATTTCACTGTGACTATTAAAATCCCCCATCAGTATGAAGGGTTTAGGTAATTGTTGAATCAGTTCATCCAGCTCTCTCTTGTCCAGTGTATCATTTGGAGGTAGGTATAGTGAGCAGAAAGTCACTGTTTTTTGTAGTGTTACTAATACTGCAATTGCTTGCAGATTTGTCTTTAATTTGATTTCACTTTGAGTGATGTTGTTATTAACTATAATTGATGAGCCAAATGAGGCTCTATCTCTTTGATCATTTATGTAGTTGTATGATGTATATTTTTTAATGTGAAGTGAGTCTTTTGATTTTTGATGCGTTTCCTGTAAACATATGACTGCTGGGCAGAAAATGGCGATGAGAAGCATCAATTCGCAATGGTTGACCTTCTCACACCTTATGTTCCATTGGAGGAATCTGTAAGCCATTTATTTTGAAAGCTGTTTTAGTTTGGGTGGTCGAGGAAACTGATTCTCGGTATCCATTGACTCCAAGACTTCAAATTGGTTCTGTATTTGTTCATTTTTTTTTTCCTGTGTGCAGTCAAGGATTCTCTCCTTTGACATCCATTGATTCTAAGGCTTCGAATTTGTTTTGTATTTGCTTTTCCTTTTTTTTGGGTCGTGATTTGGATATGGATGACACCAGAAGCAAATATAAACAAAGAGGATGATATCACATACTTTACAAACACATTACAAACAATCGCAGAACAAAATATTCCCAAAAGTTCACCCTCTTCTAAATTCAATAACCCCTGGTTTAACACACAATGCAAAGTAGCTGTGAGAGCCAGACGAGCATCTCTTAGGAAATTTAAAAATCGTCCAACCAAAGGAAATTTAGATGTCTATAAAAATGATAGAGCTAAGGCACACAGGACCATTCAAGAGGCTAAACAATCATCATGGCAGCAATATGTTAATAAAATGAATTCAGACACTAAATCTAAAAAAGTATGGGACATGATTAGAAAAATTTAAGGGAAAAACAACAGACAACCTTACCAACATATCAGCCACAAGGGCACCAGAATTACAAATAAAAAAGACATAGCTGAACACCTAGCTGAAAACTTTGCTAAAAACTCCTCCTCAAACAATCCTGAAAAAAAAAAAGAATTCCAAACAATCAAAAAGCGCGAGGAGAAAAAAAAAATCAATTTTCATTCAGATAACTCCGAAACCTATAACCAACCATTCACGTTAACAGAATTACAAGATGCTTTAAAAAAAGCACATAACACAGCTGTTGGTCCCGATGAAATTCATTATGAATTTCTAAAGCAATTGTCCAGAGGACCAAAAAAATACTTACTCAAAATCTATAATGATATCTGGACTACTGGAAAAATCCCAAATATATGGAAACAAGCCACAATAATTCCTATGCCCAAACCTTCCAAAAACCCTATGGATGCAATGAACTACCGCCCTATTGCACTCACCAGCTGTGTATGCAAGACTTTTGAAAGAATGGTGAATAAAAGTCTGGTGTGGTATCTGGAAACAAACAAACTGATCACAGAACATCAGGCAGGCTTCAGAAACAAGAGGAGCCCTATTAACCACATAGTAAAATTAGAAACATACATATGAGAAGCTTTCATCCAAAAAGAACACATCATATCAGTGTTTTTTGATCTGGAAAAGGCATATGATACAACATGGAAATATGGGATAATGAAAGACTTGAAGGAAATGGGACTGAAGGGCAGAATGCTAATACTGATAAAAAATTTTATGAATGATAGAAAATTCAGGGTGAAATTTGGAGATACCCTTTCAGCTTGGAAAGAACAAGAAATG